TGAGGATGCACAATTTGAGGTGGGGGGACCCAGCCTCACAGCGACTGACAAGGAGTCCATTCCAGGAAGCAGCGTGGCCTCCAGGCTCCCAGTCCACCCTGGAGGCATGGCAGGGGCAGGGGTGAGGAGGGGGCCCCTGGAGAGCAGAGGGGAGAGACAAGCAGTTAACACAGAGCCTGGACTGGGGTGCTGGGGCAGTTGGAGAATGACAGCAGCTTTTAAACCCCATACATCGGGTACATACAGGTTGCACTTACGAGGGGTACTTTGCACATATTATCTCACTGAGTCCTCCATAGTAAGTTCCCCTATAAGGGGAACTGTTATGACCACATTTATAGATGAGGAAACTAAAGCTCAGAGAGGACAAGCAACTTGCTCAAGATCACACAGCCTGGAAGTGGCAGACGCAGGACTTGGACCCAGGTTTCTGTGTCCTGGAAGATGGCAGTAGCTAGCAACTGATGGAGAATACCAAGAATGATGCCCCAAGGGCCCCCTCGGCTAACGGAGGTCTGGATACCTCCAGTCTGAGCCACCTCACTGCTTCCCCTCCCACCCCCCAGCCTCCCCATGGCATGTGAAGGATCCTCTGTCAGTCACAGAGCTGGCAGGTCATAACTCACACCACACTGAAGTCTGCGGGATCCGAGCAACAGTGACAAGTGACCCCGTAAAAGACGGGCGATTTAACAGGTTTAATTTGATGGCCACATAAACCATCAAACACACAACGAGGGAATAAAAAGGCTGCCGGCACCCGGGCAATTAAAGGCTCCCAGCGAGGCGGCTCTCTTCCTCCGCCCAGGCCCGCCCCGCTTTCCTGGAGCAGAGGGCTCAGTGTCATGGCCTTGGGGAGGGGGCGGCAGGGGAGACTAGAGCCAAAATGGACAAGGCCCGCAGACGGAGGAACGGAAAGGCCTTGGGTCTCTGCCTCCCAGATGCTTCTTGGTTATCCATCAGGCATCTCTGAAAGGTGCAATTTAGACTCTATTATGATGCTGGGGACTCTGGAGGCTGAGGGCCGTGGCCATGAGCAGAGCAGGCACCGGGAACAGATGTCCATGCCAGAGAACGCGGTGGCTGGCCTTGGTGTTGACCTGTACAAGTCTGCCCCTGCTCGGGACACTGCTCCGGAACGGCCGAGCCCAGGGGCCACCCGCATCCCTTGTGCCAGGACTCAGTGGCTGACGGACCAGAGAGAGTGTGTGATCTCTGGCCAGACGGCAGAGGCTCCTGGGCTCAGACTTGACCCCCGAGACTGAGACAAGGTGGCCTTTGAGCAGGCCTGTGCCTTCCTGTCCCCAGCACCTGCCCTGGCCCCGCCTCTGCTCATAAGCAGCTTGAGATGGGACCTCCAGGCTCCATAACCTTCGTGACTCTGGCTCCATGCAGAGAAAGAGACAGAGGTGCAGCTGGAAACCTGGGCTGGCAGTGACCTCGGAGGGCCCCTCACCTCTCTGAGTCCCAGGCTGCTCAGCTGTAAAATGAGACCAAAGACCTGTGTGTGACGGGCGGGCACAGGAACACGTGCGCCTGTGAAGCGGGGTGGGTGAGGCCTGGCCGGAGCGGTCACCCAACTGCCTGGGTTTATTCCTGTCCTCTGAAGGCTGGCGCGTCCAGGTCTGTGCGACCATCCCCTTCTTCGAGCTGTCTCTTCTCTAGTTTGGGCCAGTGCCCTTCCCAGTCCCAGATATAATGAGAGGGGAGGGAGTCAGTGGTCGGATAAGGGCCGGGCAGCTCCATGGGATTTTACAGGGTGACTCTCGATGCCGCAGAGGGGAGGAGGGGCTGGCGAGCACGGTGCATGGATGGGAGATGCGAGGGAGGAGCAGCCGGGGCTGCCTGGTCAGGGAAACAAAGACGAAAGCTAAGTCCACAGAGAGCTGGAGCTCACGTGCAGGAAGGAGAGACCAGCTCCGAGTCCCGAGGGGCGAGATGTGAGTGGGCTCAAGACCCACAGCCCGGGCTGGGGGCCAGGCTCCGAGGAAGCTGTCAGGAATAAGCAGGCAGGTGTCCTCAGCCCCTCAGGTCAGTGAGTGTTGGTGGTCGGGGGCTTGAGCTGCCTTCACCGGCCCAGAGTGTTGGGCACAGTCCCATCAGCCCCAATTTCTCCTGGTTTCTGGCAGGACCTCGTTCCCCTCTGGCTCTGTGTGCAGGCCCCATGCGCCCTTTCCCCTTGCCCTCACTTGCTTCCAGCCAGGTGTCCTCGGCTGGCCCTCAACCTGCCTTGGGTCCACCTCATGGACAAAGCTTCATGCCACTAACAGGCTCTGCGCAGGTTAGTGTGTTAACTGTGGGCAAAGCCCCAGCTCACTCCAGAAGGCCTTGGAGGGTGCGGCTGGCTGGGCAAAGGCCCTGTAAATACAAAGGAGGCATGAGTGTGTGGGGGCGAGCGGCTGGGGGCATTCCTACTTGGCTCAGTCCCTCTGTGCTCGGGTGGTCACAGATGCCAAGCCACACCAGGCCTGTGCAGCCCACGGTCCCTGCCCTCGAGCACCCAAAATTTAGTCGGGATGAATGTCCCCCACACTAGTCACACTAGTCACCAAACAGTGTGACCCGCAGCCCACAGAGATGGGCACAAGATGCTGCGCTGCGAGCCTGGTGGTCAAGACGCTGTCCTGTGACCCAGATGGCCCAGGTTCCCCCTCACCAGTTCTCAAGTGGTCTTGAGTAAGTTAACGTTTCCGAGTTTCCATTTTCTCATCTGTTACATGGGAATGAGAAGGGCATTGATCTCAGGTTTGCTGGAAGGATTAAATGACTTAAATATTCGTTAAGTTCTAGGTGAGGTCTTTATTATAGTGTGAGCTACCATCCCACCAGAAGGAATCCCAAGTAGCTAGAACAGGGACTGGCACATGGTAGGTGCTCAATAAAGATCTGTTGGATGGCTGGATAGATGGATGCATGAATGGATGAGTGAGTTGGTGGGGGGGTTGGATGGATGGATGGGTGGATGGTAAATAGATGGGTGGGTAGATGGACGGATACATGGATAGATGTATGGGTGAGTCGGTGGGTGGGTGGGTGGATGGATGGATGGATGGATGAGGGAGTGGATGGATGGATGGATGACAGGATGGATAGAGGGGTGCAAAGATGAGTGGATTGGTGGATGGATGGATGGATGGATGGATGGATGGGTGGATGGGTAGGTGGATGGATGGATGGGTGGATGGATGGATAGGTGAGTGGGTAGATGGATGGATGGGTGGGTGGATGGGTGGATAGATGGGTGTATGGATGAGTGGATTGGTGTATGGATGAGTGGCTTGGTGGATGGATGAGTGGCTTGGTGGATGGATGGATGGATGGATGGATGGATGGACAGAGGGACGGGTGAGTGGGTGGATGGACAGATGGATGGACGAGTGAGTGGGTAGGTGGGTGGATGGATGGATGAGTGGGTGGGTGGATGGATGGATGGGACGGATGGATGGGTGAGTGGGTGGGTGGATGGATGGGTAAATAGGTGAGTGAGTGGGTGGATGGATGGGTGGGTGGGTGGGTAAATGGTTGGTTGGGTGGGTGAATGGATGGATGGATGGATAGATGGATGAGTGGGTGGGTCGATGGATGGGTAGATGGATGGATGGATGGTTGGGTGGATGAATGGATGGATGGATGGGTGGGTGGGTGAATGGGTGGAGCAGAGGGAAGCCCTATCTGGCATCAGGAAGACCTAGCAGGGAAGGGGACATTTGAGCCAGGTCCTGAAGGGTGAAGGAAGAGCAGTTTGCTAGATGGAGAGGACCAGTCTAGGAACAGAGAGGGACAGAGAAGGGAGAAGGATTTGACATGGTTGAGAAATGGAGACACCTGGTCCCTGGGGCATAGGAGTGAGGTCCCCACTGACTCATTCGGTGAGGGGGGTCCCGATTCTGCTCTGCCCTCAGCTCAGACTCCCAGAGACCATCATGTCCCACATTGAGAAGCCTTTGTGAACCTAGAGTTATACAGCAGACCTCTGCTAGCTGCATGAAGACACCCTTCCCACTGAGGTTGAAAGATAATTTCTCTTTAATTGATTTTTTTACCACTATGAACAGTAAAATAATATGAGAAAGTCCTATGCTACAATTTTTCCATTTGTGAAAACCTAAATTACAATTGCAGACAATTCCCTCAGAGCATGAATCCCTCCCTCCTTGTATTTGCCTCATTTCTTTAAAAGCAAGAAAACAGATATAAGTTTTTTTCAAAAGGGCTGAAAGTTTTGTGATTTAGGAAGGGGGCAAGGTGTGGAATAATTTCCCACACGAGACGGAAAGCAGAGCCAAGGAGGGCACCTCTGATAGCAAGAGATTTCTGTAAATACACGAGACAGCAGTTCTGTTGACACCTCATTCTTCTGTCTATAAAATGCAGGAGCGACAAACAGGACACGTTGTTTTAACACCAGACAATGAAGCTCCTCGCTCTCCACTGCTCACCAGTGACGATGCTGGCAGTTTCTTTTTTGCAGCTTCTAGTGATGCCTCCCTTTTGAGCTCGCAGGCCTCACAGAAATAAGCTTTCCCTTCAAACCCTGGGTCTGAGCCAGAGAGGGACGCGTGGTCCCCGTTCCAGTGAGAAACGGTGGCTCTGAATCCATAAAACATGCCCTAAATCCATCCCGTCAACACTGACCAGCCACTCTGAGCATGAGCCATAAAGACTGGCTTAGTGTGAAATCTTGAAAGAAGAAACCAAAACTTCGGTGTGGCTCTCACTAAATTAACCTCCCCCGACGCTCACATCACAGTCGAGGAGGGCACAGCAGCGTCCGTCTAATTCACGGGCAGCATCTTTGCTCCTGATGGTATTTAACGTGAGTCACATGTCGTTAAGAGTCCGACCTCACCCGAGTGGTCACCTGTGATGTAAACTTGTCACAAGAAGGGCCATGGTGCGTGAGCCTCAAGGCTTGACCTCTGCCCTGTGGCCCCGACTGCGGCCACCCCTTGGTGGCAGGTGAGTGGGTACCTTGATTCACACTCACTGTGTGTCTTGTGCTCCTTGCAGGTGATAAGACTCCAAGTCAGGTGGGGCCGGGCTCCCCCAGCCATCCACCATGGTGGTGGCACATCCCACTGCCACCGCCACCACCACGCCCGCTGCCACGGTCACGGCCACCGTCATAATGACCACGGCCACCATGGACCTGCGGGACTGGCTGTTCCTGTGCTACGGGCTCATCGCCTTCCTGACGGAGGTCATCGACAGCACCACATGCCCCTCGGTGTGCCGCTGCGACAACGGCTTCATCTACTGCAACGACCGGGGGCTCACCTCCATCCCCGCCGACATCCCCGACGATGCCACCACCCTCTACCTGCAGAACAACCAGATCAACAATGCCGGCATCCCCCAGGACCTCAAGACCAAGGTCAATGTGCAGGTCATCTACCTGTACGAGAACGACCTGGACGAGTTCCCCGTGAACCTGCCCCGCTCCCTGCGGGAGCTGCACCTGCAGGACAACAACGTGCGCACCATCCCCAGGGACTCGCTGGCCCGCATCCCGCTGCTGGAGAAGCTGCACCTGGACGACAACTCCGTGTCCACCGTCAGCATCGAGGAGGACGCCTTTGCCGACAGCAAGCAGCTCAAACTGCTCTTCCTGAGCCGCAACCACCTGAGCAGCATCCCCTCGGGGCTGCCCCGCACGCTGGAGGAGCTGCGGCTGGATGACAACCGCATCTCCACCATCCCGCTGCACGCCTTCAAGGGCCTCAACAGCCTGCGGCGCCTGGTGCTCGACGGCAACCTGCTGGCCAACCAGCGCATCGCCGACGACACCTTCAGCCGCCTGCAGAACCTCACCGAGCTCTCGCTGGTGCGCAACTCGCTGGCCGCCCCACCCCTCAACCTGCCCAGCGCCCACCTGCAGAAGCTCTACCTGCAGGACAACGCCATCAGCCACATCCCCTCCAACACGCTGGCCAAGATGCGCGAGCTGGAGCGCCTGGACCTGTCCAACAACAACCTCACCACGCTGCCCCGCGGCCTGTTCGACGACCTGGAGAACCTGGCCCAGCTGCTGCTCCGGAACAACCCCTGGTTCTGCGGCTGCAACCTCATGTGGCTGCGGGACTGGGTGAAGGCGCGGGCGGCCGTGGTCAACGTGCGCGGCCTCATGTGCCAGGGCCCCGAGAAGGTGCGGGGCATGGCCATCAAGGACATCACGAGCGAGATGGACGAGTGCTTCGAGACGGGGTCCCAGGGAGGCACGGTCAACGCCGCCACCAAGACCACGGCCAGCAACCATGCCTCCACCACCACACCCCAGGGCTCGCTCTTCACCCTCAAGGCCAAGAGGCCGGGGCTGCGCCTCCCCGACTCCAACCTTGACTACCCCATGGCCACGGGCGATGGGGCCAAGACCCTGGTCATCCACGTGAAGCCCCTGACGGCGGACTCGATCCGCATCACGTGGAAGGCCATGCTCCCCGCCTCCTCCTTCCGGCTCAGCTGGCTGCGCCTGGGCCACAGCCCTGCCGTGGGCTCCATCACGGAGACTCTGGTGCAGGGGGACAAGACGGAGTACCTGCTGACGGCCCTGGAGCCCAAGTCCACCTATATCATCTGCATGGTCACCATGGAGACCGGCAACACCTACGTGGCCGACGAGACGCCCGTGTGTGCCAAGGCAGAGACGGCCGACAGCTATGGCCCCACCACCACGCTCAACCAGGAGCAGAATGCGGACCCCCTGGCGGGCCTGCCCCTGGCGGGCATCATCGGGGGCGCCGTGGCCCTCGTCTTCCTCTTCCTGGTCCTGGGGGCCATCTGCTGGTACGTGCATCGGGCCGGCGAGCTGCTGACCCAGGAGCGGGCTTACAACCGGGGCAGCCGGAAAAAGGATGACTATATGGAGTCGGGGACCAAGAAGGATAACTCCATCCTGGAAATCCGCGGCCCCGGGCTGCAAATGCTGCCCATCAACCCTTACCACGCCAAAGAGGAGTATGTGGTCCATACCATCTTCCCCTCCAATGGCAGCAGCCTTTGCAAGGGCACGCACACCATCGGCTACGGCACCACGCGGGGCTACCGGGACGCTGGCATCCCTGACATAGACTATTCCTACACATGATGCCAGCCTCCTGGGCCGTCCCCGCCCCAGCTCCCGCTGTCCTCCTGGCGTGGTGACGACGTGGCTTTGCCCAGCCTGCTGCCGTCCGACAGAGCAAGGATAAGAATTTCCACGATGACTTTCCCAGCAGAAAGCAAAGTCTGGGGAGGGTTGACGATTTTGTAGAACACAACCGGGAAAAAAATTTTTTTTTTTAAAGAATAAAAGGCAGGAAGGGGATTTGATGCAGCTGAAGACATAATTTATACGGAATTATGCCAGTTGAGGAAGGAAAAACTAAAAATAATATTGCAGGAAGGGTTGGGCCGGGGTTTTTTTTCCCGAACTAGAAAGATGCTACCTGTACCACGTCTGTGTGCGCCTCATGCTCTGTTCAGGGCCGTCACAAAGGAACCGTCAGAGAGAAGCAGCCGCCACGCGAAGCCCCCACACAGCTCTCTCGCTGCCGGCTGCTCGCTGGCGACGACGTGATGGAAGGTTTTCAGGCTCCTCACAAAGGAGAGGGGGAAGAAAGGATCTTTTGCTATGGAGATGCTGTCCTGAAACCTCTTCCCTGGTTCTTTCCATCTCATTTCCCTTACAGATTTGCAGAAATATCGCGTCTTTCAATGCATTCTTTGAACAATGATGTAGTCGATTAAAAAACAAACTCTTTTTCCTAGCCTGAAACCCTCTTCGACACCGTGCCCCGTACTCCGTGGTAGCCCCATGGGAGTGGTGGCTTTCCCAGCCACTGGGAGGTGCGTCTATCTACCTGTCTGTCTCTATGTGGCGTCTCTAAATACAGATGGGTAGATAGAGCCACGTATCCGGTCCTCGCGGTACCTCTTGGGTCAGTTTGTCCAATTTCCTGAGACAACAGAGTCGCGAAACCGTTGCTTTCTCCTAGAAATTATTGAGTAAGTAGACAAGGTGCGTTGGGGATGGGAGTGGGCAGGCCATGATGCTGTTCATACAGGTGGCAGTGTGTCTGTCCTGGACGGGTGGCTAGGGAGACCCCGGGCAGGGGATGCTTTCAGTCTGATCCTATCTCAGGTCGGCCAGAGCTGGGCCGTGCTCCTTTCTGATCTAGAGAAGAGCTTTCTTTGACTACAGGTGTCCTCGTCTCTCTCCCCCACACACAGATGCGATCAACTCCATAGCTACTTCTGAGCGTCTACTCTGTGTTGTGTGCTTCCTCCTGGGACAGGTAATTGGTACAGGGATGGGTTTTTTTCTTTTTTTTTTATATCAGCTGATTAGACCTAATGGTTTCCATGGCTGCTCAAACAAAACCCAGAAAAGAGATGAAAATTCTCAGAAAGGCCCTGGGAGACAGCACCCCCGAATGCACAGCATCCAGCCGTGCCCGCCCCTGGGGCTCTGCTCCGGAGAGGGAAGCCCGGATGGCACTCTAAAAATGCCAGCCGCCAAAAGGACACGGACTGGGGCCTCCGAAGACTTAAGATTTTATTTCCTCCCTCTGGCATCAACGTTGCCATCATTTGTTAACCGACAGTGCAGTGTGGCGAGCCATGAGATTACAACGCTGGTGACAGCAAATCTGGAAGGAAGAGAGGAGAGGTGCCCAGGGTCTGGTATCTCCTGAGTGCCAGCACTCGGGGACTCGGGTCACCGGCTGTCCACATGCCACTCGTCCTGCACCGGGGAAGAGCCATGTCAAAGGAGAGAGGCTGGTCTGAGAGCAGGGAGGATGAGAAGGGGTCCAGCTTCTGGCGGGGGCATTTTCAAAAGGCCTCGACCGCTTTGACAAAAGCCAAAGGCAGGAAGATGAGGCTGAATAGCAGTCACAGAGCGGCCGTGACAGGCCCCGGGGCCGGCCGCTCGGCGCACATGAAAAGATGCTACTGGTCCCCTCAGCGAAGAGGCAGGGGTTGAAAGAAATGGACACAACAGCCGTGTGACAGAGGTGGAGAAGAGGCGTGGCCTCCATCGCCAGGCCCAACGGATGGTCTCACCAAATGAGGAATCCAACTCCCCAGCCCCAGGGAGAGGCCGAGGGCACGGACACATTTCATTCTAAAATAAGCCTTTTTCCCTTTTCCCACTTGAATCATTTTCTCATCCAGTGAGGTCAGGAGAGAAATTTTTCCCAGCCTTAATTTCACGTCTGCATAGAGGGCGCCCTCTTTGGCCTGCAGCGTCCCCAGACACAAGCCTGTTCCAGCAGCTCAGGGAGGAGCAGGGGCCCCACTGGGACACGCCAGGGGGAGAGGGCTCACGAGGGTGCGGGGCACTGGTGAGGGACAGAAGTACGAGGTCTCTGCTGTTTCTGAAATGGTGTCCCCTCTCTCAGGGCACCACGCTTAACCTCTGCCAGTGTCCCAGGAAAATCGGTCCCCACTGTCGTCCCCCAAGTCCCTGCTGCCATCATGCTCGGCCCCCCATCTCACTGTACATCCTCCTTTCTCCGAGCCAGGCAGGATTCCAGATCATCCCTTAGAGGCTAGAAAGGCATTTGGGGAACAGTAGGTGGCCCCGTATAGTGAGGGTTGCAGGCAGGGTGGGGGGCCTGAGAGCCAGCCTGTGCCAGCAGCGCCCTCCAAGATCAGGCCTGGGTGATGGGCTTCCCTGCCCCGTAGCACAAAGCAGGCCCAGGCCTGCCCGGGCCTGAGGACCACAGGAGTCTCCTGCTCCCGGCTCTTGTACCGTGGATCTCAGGCAGGGGCGCACCACAGGCTGGAGGGCCTCGCCGCAGGCATCCATCCTCCCACCAGTGTGAGTGCCGAAGGCAGGAGAGACTTGGCCCAGCCAGGGCCCCGGGGCCCGCTCTCATCTTTTCTGCCCTCAGCCTCCTGACATCTTCCCAGTGTCCTTTCTGAGAGCGGGACCCTGAATATCTGCTGCCTCATGTCCCACGATGCCCGGGAGGAGGCCTGAAGCCAGGTCCACTCTGAAACCCGTCCCCCTCCACCCCTGGTCCCACTCCTCTGAGCTGGCCACGTAATATAACAAGGGAGAGGATGTTCCAGGCACCCAGCCTCCCCCACCCCCACTTCTGTCTAGAATCTCCCTCCTGTGGGCAGATGACCTGACCCACGCAGCCTCTAACTAGCCAGAACAACCTCCGTGGCCTCAGCGTTGATGCGTGTATTTTACGGCATTTAAGGCAGATTTCAAGTTAAAAAAAAAAAAAAAAAAGCCCACGATACTTCTTTGGTTAAGTGGTTTACCCTTCGTGGTAATTAGATGTAGTGATTGGAATCTCTTTTCTATTACATGGCAATTTTCCTTTAAATTTCCCCTAAAAAAAAAAAAAAAAAAAAGGCAAGAGAAGGCTGGGAAGGCAAGGAGGCAGGAGGCAGCCGGGCCAGGCGAGTCATTTGCATTTTGCGAATGAGGCCTCTTGTAAGCGCAGCTCAGGCGTGGGGCCCGACGTATGGAATGCTTAAGAGATTGCTAAGAATAAAATCTATTAATTAGTCATACTCAATTCCGCAGACATGATGTGCATCAAAAGCTTCTTTTCTTCCCTCTCCTTCCCTCTTCCTGCGGCCTCCCGAGGAGGCCTCCATCTTCTCTAGATTGGCTCTGGCCTCCTGGACCGCTTCCGCAGTAACATGACAGGGATGCTTGGGGGCCGGAGCTGGGGCTCCTTCCCACTCTGGGTGACGCTGGCAGCTGGGAAGATGGCAGTGCCTGAGGGGTCCAGGCTTCCCCAACCAGAGCCTGAAGGCCAGGCCTGCCTTGCGCCTCTTCTCCCTCACTCCACAGCACCGGCCTCCTCCTCCTTCCCCTAGGGCCAGGCTGAGAGTGAGGAGGGGTCAGGGAGGGTGTCCAGAGAGGTGCAGGGGAAGCGCGTTTTGTGAATCCACAGCCTCTGTTTCCCCTTCTGTAAAGTGGGGGTGCGCTGAGGTGGGGTCTAGCTTCACCCTGAAAAGCTGGGTGTTCCAGAGGCCAAGTAGGGGCTCCTCCCCTCCACTGATTCTGGAGTGTTCTAGTTGGTCCAAGGCAGGTGATGGAGGCCCAGAGCAGGAGGGACAGGCCAGATCCCTGAGGGGGCTGCCTGGGGCCTGGAGAAGGGGCCGGGCAGCGTGCCCAGGACTGCGGGACCGCCTTGGGGCCTCCCTCCTTCACCCCCCGGGAGCCGAGGAGCGAGGGGAGGACGCCACCATGCTATCGATGGCAGTTCCAGTCCCCAAGCCAACCCATTCCACTCCACTCCAGAAATCCGCTTCCTGTGGAATGCGCCAGGGAGGAGGCCGGGCTGCTGAGCCTCGTGCTTATGAAAAATACAACAAGGAAAATTGGATGCAGCAGACGGGGAGCGATGGGGCTGGGAAGGCACCCAGGAGGGAACCAGGAGGGAGCTGGGGTATTTGCTGGAAGGCGGGGCCTCGGGGTGCACAGCGGCCTGTGCCCCCAAGGGTCAGATGGCGCTCTCAGGGCCAGGATGCATCCAGGTTCGGCTGTGGGTGTCCCACGCACCCGTGTCGCCTCTCCACACTCAAATCAGCACAGGGGATGGGCCACGGATGCCTGGCGCTGGACCGGCGCCAGGGTGAACGCTAACAAGCAATGCACAGCCCTGCACAGGCTTCCAGAATGCAGAGAGGAGGCATCCTTTTTCTTAAAAAGGGATAAAAAGGCTCAAAAATGCAAATAATTACCGTTTACAACCAAACGAGTCTGCTAAATTGATTAGGAGAGATTAAATTCCTCGGAGGTGAAGGGAAAGGGGGATTTTTTGCATTTTACGAACCTGCTCCCAGAGTGCGCAAAGCAGGGATTCTTCTGGGCCTGGCTAAGGGCTGCCCCTTTGCAGCTCCCAGGGAGCTGGGGGTCTGTGAGGGCCCACACCGTGCAGGCCAGAGCCCTCGGGGATAGGCTGGGTTTGATAGAACCTGGGCCCACAGGGGCCATTCAGAAGCTGTCCCAGCCCCTAGCAGAGACTCTGCCCCTGCCCTCCAGATTCCCTCTGCCTTCAGGGGCAAAAAGCGAGGGAAAGTGGCTGGTCCAGTCACTTAGAGAGTGGGACTCTAGAGCCATGAGCTTTTCTGCTTCCTTTCTGTTCCAGGGTGGGTCTGTCTCTGATCCAGTCCCTGTGGCCAGTGAAAGGAGAGTGGGGCCAACTGTAAAGAGAAAAGTGAAGGTCAGGGACGAGAAACTCTGGCCCAGCAAAGAAATCAGACAGTGAGCTCTCCGTCACTGGGAGCATTCAAGCACTTGATGGGGATGTGACAGATATTTTCCTGCCTAAGCCAAGGCCTGGCTCTTTGACTAGAAGATCCTGGTTTCTACCCCCACTTTATCATCCCCCAGGACCCTGTAAGGAAGGTATCAAGAGGTGTTCACTGTGCTGCCCTGAAAATCCCAGGCCAGGGCCGTCCCACAGCCAGGCCGCCCCATCCCATCAGAGAGCTGCTTGTGCCACCAGGGATGCTGCAGAATTCCCATCCTCAGTGTCCACACCAGGAGAAGAAGTGCAGACACACACCACGCCTTGCCGGCGTCTGGACAGGGAGTTCGGAGGGTCACTCACCCCCTGCAGCTGGCTCACCTGCGGCTCCGGGTCCCAGGCTGCCCCCTGGCCCTATTCCCGGTGCCAGGGCCCCTGCCCCACTGGGCATCCTCCACCGTCTCACCGGCTGTTTTTCTAACTCAACACACTGGACGCTGCCGGCTCAATCCATCCATCGCAGCCGGGTTGACGGCTGCCTGGGGCACTTTTCACTCCGCGTTTTTAAGCACTTACCATTTCTTTTGAAATGTTCCAAGTAGTTGCCTGAAATAGCCACATGTGCTTCTTTAAAAACATACAGAAAGATTCCCTGGACTCCTGACTCCCCCCTTCTGTTACTTCTCTCTCCCTTTGCATTTTAATGTACTGTTTTTCTCTGGTTTTGGAAATTCCATTATGCTGGGGTCAGGCCCACTTTCTCACTGTAAGTGGGATTTGCAGGTGTGCCCAAGACCCCCGAAGCCGCAGGGGCAAAGCCCGCCTTCTCTTCGCATCTCCCCTGGAGACATGGCACACAGGATGGGTCTCCAGCCTGGGGGCGGCTCCAGCCCTGCTCCCCGTGGAGCCCACAGGCCCTGGGCTTTTTGAGACCACTGTCGCTGCCCCTCCCACCCCTGGCTACTGAAATGCCTTGCTTGTGCC